GTCTACGATCACCGTTGCTGTTCATGAATGCCCTCGCCAAAAGTACCCCTGGATCGCTTCCGTTCTGCTTCTAATCCTTTGTCGCGAAGGACGGAATACGGTGGTTGTGCAAGGTCCTCACTAAACTCTCCTCCCCGACCAAACACCCAATCTGCCCCCGCAGATACTCGGTTTGATGATGCCGCACTTTGTGTGCAGTGACAATGCCTTACATTTACTCTTTACCCGGTTCAATGGAATACGTACTCCTTGATCCCTGCGTTGGATGGCGGGTCACTTGTGTCCATGTTCAAGGCACAGGATCTCCTTCTCGAGTCACGGACACTCGACGTAGAGGCACCACGTTGACTAGCGCTATGTACTGTTGCTTTGGGATCTTACAATCAACAGCTGCACACCTACTTCATCGACCGATCTTGGTACGAGTCCTGCGATCTATGAGGAAAATCCAGGCGTTGAACCTGGATTCGGATGGACGGATGGACAATTTCACGGGCTACAATGACCAGATCAGGTCTCTATGGAACACGATTAAGCAGGGGGCATTGAGAAGACAGAATCGCGCGATGGATCCTTCTCGTGAATTTGTACCGTTTGGTTGCGGAAACGCAGAGGTAAGGACATAATCTTTACATTTATCAGACTTTTCCTCCAACTGAATGCAACTTCCTTCAACCAATGGTGTCGCAACGATTTCAATTCGGGACCGAATCTCATGCACCCAAAACTCTTGCGCTGCGCAGGCTGTATCAGACGTATATTGCTCGATTTTATGCCAGAAGGCTGCATGGGGGGCACACAAAATCCGCTGCGATGACTTCCAAGCTCAGAAGAAATGTGTGTCTTTGTTTCCATGCAATTCTGGGCTCTCGTCCCTCTGTCCAAATTTCGATATTGTCTTCCAATGTACAACCCAGAGGCTACTCAAGCGCCTTTGATTGCCTCTGTGTGCAAGACCAGGCCGTAGAGGATTTTTGGAAGAATACGGAGAAAACCAAGAAAGCCTCTCGTGAACGATATGGTTCAGACAGGTTCAGACAGCCTCCCAACAAGATCTGTCGTTCGAATGGACTATGCGACTCTCCCAGTGGGTTTTACCGTGGATTCTATGGAGGACGCTGGGCAATATGTCCAAGCTCGTATGAGTGAGAGTAGTAATTGTCTCACCTTTGGTACTCGAAAAATGTGGGACGATGGTCGCTTTGGCGTCAATACCGTTCGCGTCTACGCCATTGATTGTATACGTTATATAAAAAATGTTTTTCGGAACGTAGAACGGGCCCGGGGAAAGCCCAAGTAGTTCCTGGCAAAATGTTGTCGATATTTCTACGGACGGAATCTCTTGTGCATAACCTCATTCTAAGCCACGAGTGAGTCTCTGGTTTGCGTTGATTGTGCACTGTGCAGCCCGGGATTGTCGAATAGGAGTAGATACGATAGTATGAAAAGTCGCTAAACAGTGCGATAAATAACACAATTATGATACAGAGGTATGAGCTAGAGCCTATAGATTGTGAGATTATAGCCCCTTTGTTCGATGATCCTTCAAATGACTTACACTACATGAACGGCGGCTACTGGCTGACGACCAGCTCAGAACCTATCGCCTTGCCGATTCCGTTGAGCACAACGTTGGAACCGGTACGTTGGCTTGGTGAGCCTGGCGGTTTACTCTCCACGGGTACCCCAGCTGTTGTGGTGGGGGTGCCCGACGACAATGCTTGCGAGAGCGCCGAAAATGGATTGGCCGGTTGCGAGCTCGACAACGGCGCAACCCCTCCACCCGGTGCATCAGCTGAACCTGTCTGCTGACCTCCAGGAGCACTATTGGGATCTCCATCTTCATTTTTCTTCTTCTTCCTTGTTCCCCCAACAGCACCTCCAACAACCGCGCCGATAACAACAAGAGCCGCAACACCAATTATGACCATGCCTTTCGTAGTTCGGTAGAAAGGTACACGTCTGGGAGGAATTGGAGTGGCAGACGTGGGCCCCAAATGTTCTTTCGATGCAGTGATACCGCTTTCCAAGTCTCGATTCAGATTGGTGTTGCTAGCGTTGCTGGTCTTCGGTGCGCTCAAGATGTCAGGATTGTAACCTTCCTGTATAATTCGAATAACAACGACGGTTCTCAGCTCAGCCGTAGTATAAGAGCCTATGGAAACGCACCTGGCGCATCTGCTTCGTAGTTTCAGGAGCCGCGGCCAGCAGGCTCTGATCATATGCTCCATGCCCATGGTTAGAAGACATCGTCGCCGTCTTCAAGTTGGTGAAGGGAGAAGAAAAGAGAAGAAGGAAGTGGGAAAGGGAAAATGAAGGGTGGGGGGGAAGGGTTGAGGTTGTCGCCGCCCAACTGTCAGGCCTGTCGGTCTGTCAAAGACAACAGAATGATTCAACACTGCCTAGCGCCCGAAATTAAGGGTTTATACCCCTTAAAAGGTTCGGTGCGTGATTCGATGAATGGGTAAGAATAAAGGCCACGCATAATCGAGTGAACGGTAAGTGAAGAGGTTGTGGTTGGGTCCGTACTTATGATGAAGCAACGCTGAGAAGTGGGGCTGCGAAACGGAAGTTCAACTCAGAACAGGATCGTGATGACCGGCAATATGTCCCGATGAAGATACGTCAGTATTTGATTGCTCGGCAGTGGCCGGTGGCTGAAGTATTGGCGTTCCGTGCACGCATGTAGTCAGAACTGCTGACTGCTCGGCAAAATTTCACAGAGCTATGTGTAGATGTGAGACTAAGTACCAGCGATGTTTTCATCAAGAGTCAAATCCTAAAGCCCATAAAGACCGCTACGTTTCCCAGAGAAATAAAATAAATACGCCGTTGTTTTCGTCTTGAAGTCGTAAGCAAATCGTGTTCAGCCCCCATGGCCTCTCGACTTATAATCAGGAGGTGGGTCTCCTGGTGACTCTCTCCCAAACCTAGTACGTTTTTTACCGCTATCATTCCCATCAGCTCTCCTATTCTGATTCTGTTCCTTCATCAAAACGGCCGCCACCTCTTTTGCCAATGAGCTAATATTCTCTGACCTAGCTTCAGCTTCCGAACGTCTGGAGTCTTCTCCATTCTCAGTGTCGCCACTATTGCCCGCAAATGCGTACGGGTGCCCCCGAAGCCGCTCAACAGAAGGCACATGTCCCATGCCTGGTGGCAGTTCGCCTAGACTACTCTGATTGCGGACGTGCATAGCCCCCTGGGGTAGCCCGCGCGCATTCGACGAGGTACTTGACTGGCCCGGATGACTGCTGTAAGCGTGCCCAACGCTGGGGAAGCCTTCTTCCTGTCGTCGAGTCGGATACAAAGCAGGAGGCGTATGCCCTGTTGCGGTAGCGAACGACTCGGCTTTCCCCGAGTTGGGTGGTGAGTTCGGTGCGGGGAAATAGTGCGTCTCGACTGTCTCGTGTTGAAGCGGTCCCACTTGACGCTGTGGTCGTTTTCTGAGGAGGATGACAATGATAATGATCGTGGCGAGCAGGGCTACGACGCCTGCGACTGCTCCCCCCACTATTGCTGCCGTGTGATGTGATGAGCTCGAGCTCGCGGGTGGATTCGTGGGGGCGACAGGTGACTCGGTTTTGGGAGAGATTGAGCTCGTTGAAGAATCTGATGGGATGTTCGAAGGATCGAAGATGGTGCTTGGAGTTGCCGGTGGTACACTGGCTACAGCACCGATACCAGATAGGACCGTCGAGACAGACTGCACAAATAGTGATACGTATCAAGAAATGGAAGAGCAGGTTGAGGCAAAATCCGCAACTTACGGGGGCAGAGTTCTGAGGGAACATCTTCGCTCTTGTCTTGTAATCATCCATCATAGAAAAGCTCGGGGGATTGATTGCTCTATCCGGCGTTCGTTTTGTCAGACCAAAATTCGTGCCACAAGCTCTGGCCCTTGAACTTACCCGACCATCCCAGTGCTACAATGGAATGACGGTTTACTCAAGGGGCAGAAAAACCATATTGATACTTGAAAAGGAGAACAAGAGGTTGTTTGGCCAAACTTATGATCAGCTTGTTGTCGCACTCACCAGATTCATTTGTAATCTGCAAATCCCATGTCGACTCGGTAGTGGCACCATTGACCACCATTCCGCTACTAAACCCACCAGGAAGAGGCACGCAGGGCTTCTCGAACGATGATTGCACGATTCCGTGAGGCCTAGTTTATTTGCGTCAGTCAAAGGGTTCGATGAAAGGAAGGAAGCGACATACGCCTTGGAGAAAGTGAACCTCACAATATCCCCTGCTCTCGCAGAGACAGTATCGGGGACGAAGAAGGACCCTGAATCGCCGACGGTAACATTGTGAACCTCCTGAGCAACAACGAGTCCGAGGATGCTCAGGACAGCGAGAATTGGTCCCTGTGGTATCATGCCCATGGTTCACAGCGAGGGGAAAGCACCATACGAGTCAAATATGCCCCGGTCCCTCGAAAGGACATAAATAGGCCCCTGAAAGCGTCACGGGTATGTTAGAGAATAGACGCATGATGGGAACTTCCTCTTTCACCCACACGATAAAACATTTGACGCGATTGCTGTACCACAGTGGGAGCTGAGTGAGCTTTCCGGGAAGTCGAGGAGGAAAGGAGGTGATGTGTGGCAAAGTGTGGGTTGGATCCAAGTGCAATTTTGAGAAAGGTACCGAAAAAATCGTTGTTTGAATATGTAACGGGCTGATACACGGAGAAAGCTCACCGCTTGTCCAAGATTCCTGATAGATGACTTTGATACGTTCACACACATCTGGTACGTTCCTCGAGTCGAGCGCCTACCCATATAAGTTACGGGACGCTGTGAAATGGGAAATGATGGTTGTACTGTACCCATGGTCGGCCCATACTCGAGAGGGATTCGTTACCAGAGCCATTGATGGTTCGATGAATGTTGGTGATGGTGGTTAGAATTCAAGAACGTTGTGATCACGTCAGGCTGTTAACTCTTTCTGACATTTATCTATCTATGAGGCACCTCGCCGTCTTTGATGCGAAGACACCGTTGGTGAAGTGGTTATCATGCTTGCCTTCCATGTGATATGGCATCCCATAGACATTGAGGTAGCAAGCGGCTCGGGTTCGATTCCCGAACGGTGTATTGAATCGTAGAATGGTGTTTTTTTAAATGCCTTTTAAACCTCACAGTCACTGCCTGGCTCTAGAAACCCAAACGAGTTTTCGTGATTTCGAGCTCTAGATCTAAGCTCCGGAGCTGTCGCATTATCCCAACTTTGATATGTACTGTCGCCTCCAGACTTTGCGGGGGTTTGCTCAAAACTTGGCTACCATTTTCCGACCTCAGCTGTATCGACCTCGGATCCTGACCTATTTCCACACAAGCAAATATCACGATCCAAAACTTGCATATCACGATTCGCGACGGCTGCAATGCTGCCAGCAGCGAATCAGAGGGACGCACTCGCCGCCAGTATTTGCCAATCGAGGGTGTGGAGCATGGGAGCAATTCATTGCCTTCATCTGTACTCGTTTCTCGTACTCGCAGCCCCAATCCCCTGTTTCCGACACTAGCGAGACGCGAGCACCACCGACCGTGGAGCTTCGGACGACAGAACGACGACAATGCTCCCGGAAAAAGACTTTCCACTCCACGTATTCCGTTTCCGTAGTTCCGTTTTTCCGATTGGTGAGAGATAGAGAGAAAGAGGGTAAGGTATTCTGCGATATATGGGAGGTGGTATACGAATAGATAGTACACTAGGCTAAGGATGGTAAGTACTATAATACGTATGCTTGGGTGAAGAGAAACGGCAATGGGCGAGGGTAGGAGGCGTGTAATGTAGATGTGTACCTAGCAGAGTTCCAGAATCTCTTTTTTTCCGAATCCAAGAATTTGGGTGAAGTGAAGTCAAAAAAAGGTAAGAAGGAACCAAGACGGCGTCGAAACCGTCCCAATTCCCGGAACACCGAATGGCGAGGATTAAATCTCGCACGATTCTAAGTATCTATTGCCGAAACATGCAACAGCAGACACAAGAGACTGAAGATTTCTAATGGTCGCGGCGTCCAGCAGGACCCTCGGTGATGAAGACATTGTCGCCCTTGATGTTGATGAACGAGTATTCCGCGAGGTCAGCGGTTCCTCCGCGGTTGTAGTTGTTGTATACGAGGTTAGGCTAGAGAGAATGCGTCAGTACAATCACAATCATGTGAACCCAGAGAATAAGGAAAGTGCGTCAAGTGCAACGAAAACAGAAACAGAATTTGGGGAGGTAGCACCCACCTCAGTCCAGAAAGGCCTCAATCCAGCCTCCTCGAGCATTTGCCACCATTCCAAGAATTCCTTGAAAGACTTGTGCCAAGCGTGGATCTCCAACTGCAATTGCCCGAATGGCAGCGGCAGCCCAGCATTCCTGTACGACTTGACCAACGTAGTCAACAAGTCGAACTCCCAGCTTTCAATGTCCACCTTCAAGATGTCGATATGGGTGTGGCCTGCGAATTACGCGAGTTAATTCGGGTGACACATGCAACAAATGAAGGTGAGCCACAAAATGGAAGGTGAAGATAAGAGAAAGAGAGAGGGGCATCGTTAGCCAAGGACTGCGGACAAGCAAAAAACACCAACACGCACCATTCTGTTTCATCAACGTACTCAACGTGTACATCGGAGGCTCCTCCTTCTCGGGAACGGCAGCCACATCCTCTCCGCCGAGCTTGTACGGGTGGAAATGCGTCCTGTTGGCCTGAGACTCGGGAATCTCGGGTCCAAACGATTTGACACTAAAGTCATAGCCCCAGATTTGACAGTGGTCTGTGTGATCAAGGATCGCGGATTCGAAGGAGGATTCGTAGTTGATACCTGAGGTTGTGAAGGAGACCGGGGTGAGTACATGTGTTTTGTTGGAATGACGACAGTTATTTCGAAATTCGAGGAAGACAACGTTTCTCCGGCGCCGTGGCTAATAAGCGTGGCTCTGTGTGGCTACTGGCAAGATAGCCGACGCGTCACCAACCTGAGGCGAAGGGCAAAGGGCAGTACCCAGTGAAAGAGGGTGCGAAGGGGTAGAAAGAAAGGGAAAACACAAGAGCAACGAGGCAAATAACACTGACCGAACGAATAGACAACACAGTCACGTTTCTTCTCCACTCTAGTAATTCCACAGACCCATTTTCCACCGTCGCCCAATGCACCGAGTCGCTGGAGGTCGTGAGGGCAGTTGTACGCAGCTGGGAAAAAGTCCCCTGCAAGAGATTTGAATCACATCAGTCTTTCTGAAAGTTGATAGGCATCACAGTGAACACGCACAAACTGTATACGGTGGGTAAGGAGGCGTAACGGGCGGGAACCTAGATGACACGTCGCAAAAAACCATTGGTTCTCTCTATCCCCCAAGGGAGCTCGAACACTCACATCATAACATCTGATGGACTTGGTCCAAACTTCCTAATCAACCCCTTCCTGTCCTGTAACATCTTGTCGTAGATGACATTCGCCCTCTCCAATCGTCCAGCTAGATCATTCTTGAACCTCAAACCAAATGTCGCCGTGTCGGGCAATGAATTGATAGGGCTCAAGAGGTAAAATGTCGAGGCGAGGACGACAAACACGAATATGAAGTACTTTGGATGGCGAGACCAAATTCCAGGCATGATGAGATGTCTGGGTGGTTCTCACGTAGAGACGATAGTAAAGAGAGTAAAAGCGTTGGTGAGCTTCACGACAGTTGAATGAGGTGAAGGGATGGAGGAGGACGTGAGCGTGAACGGTGAAGGTGAGGGTAGGAGGAAAAGATTGGGGGACTGCGTTTCACTGTCACGCGGCTTTAGAAGTTTCAGGGAACCGGAGCGTGGGGAACAATTAAGCGCTTTAGGTAAAGACTATCCCCTATGAGGTAACATCGCCGGATTTCAATTTTATCTCGGACGTTGGCCGGACCAGAGTTTGGCTCCGTAGGCTTTGCAGGATTGTGGCCACCTCGGAACTTGCTGAGAACTTCAACAGAATTCAACTTCGTGTAGAGAAAAAATGGCACATATACAAACGTGCACCCCTCTAAAAGCAAGCGAAATCAGTTCGGAGATTGTACCGTGCCCAGCATACTTCTGAAGGGATCTCTTAGGGACTACGCCGGCATCCTGTCAAGAGCACAACTCGGACATTGAAGCTACTCGTTCGAACTCTGAATTTGCTGTAAAGCGTTGACTCAGGAGATATCGGTCAATATGTACGTGCACATTAAGGGAATGTTATGTGGTACATACATAACTGCTTCATGTCTGTTCAAACTCGAAACCGGAAACCCATCATTCATCAATCATTCGGTCAGGATTGGTCAAATTGAAGCTGGAGGAACGCGCAGGCTGCGCGATGCCCAGGAAGGGACCCTGAGTATCAAAACAATTGTACCTTACAGACTCTGTTCTTTCGCCATTCCATACGTTAATGATGCAACCAAGCCCCCCCAAGGGTTGGGAGGTCCTGGAATACTGCGATCAAGTATTGTGCATCAACGAATCACGAAAATGAATGTTGGATTCGTTAACTGCGCGACGTTTGGAGACCTTCCTCCATGACACGAACAACAACGCAAGAGGATAAATTTAACTATGAATGGGCAATAAATATTATCGTAAGTAAGGGCTTGGCGAGCTCCTGGCAGAGTCCCGTAAAGCGAGGAGGGCATTGATTTCCACTCTTATCTTATCTGCCTGGGATAGATACGCTGATGCTGATTAGCGCCCAGCGTATACCGCGACGCGCGAACTTTTTCTTCTACTCCCATGTACACCCCTTTGGCCATCGCGACTTTTTGCTTTCTTATCGTGCCGGATTCTGTTTAAGTCTGAACTATACGCGTTTCTGCTCTCAAATTTTCTACATCCACGTCGCTCATGAGTATCGCCGCCTTTATAGGCAGCACTCTGCGACACTACAAGCACAAAACACGTCGGTCTGGAACGCAAATTTAAACCAAAAGGCCACACAAGCTAGTACCAATATTTGGAGACTCTAGAAATGCAATCATGACGTTGGCTTGACTCGATCGGTCAGTTTCTCCCCTCAGACAGTGCTCAACTCGCTTGCAACTCACCGAAAATCAGGATGACGACTCACGAGTCCCACTTATGGACGTGACCTTTATGTCCGATTACCCAGAGAGTCCTCAGGTCTCGAACCGGGCAGGTTTCGCTGATATAGAGAGCGCATACACGAACCTTATGTCCTTGTCTGGAAGCAGTGACCGGCAAATCGGTGAAGTCCCAAATTTCTCCCCCTACTTAACTTAGCTGGGCCAGAATACTAAGTTTGGCTTCATAAGAGACAACGCCGCTCGCGACATACGCCATGAACGATCATTAAACGGGACGAAATATACGGGGAACGAGACCTGGACGCGATGCCATATACGTCCAATCACTCAGAATAACCTCAGAGCTCGACTGAGGTGTCCGAAGGTAGCTCAGCCATGTTCGTGTTCTGGGCGATCTCAATGCTCCCTGTAGGCTGGCACAGATGAAGAAGGCGCATACACCGACCTCAAGTCGTTGTCCGGAAACGGTAACCCATAACGTATCACCTTTATTTCCTGCCCCACTATGCGAGCATACTGACGTCGACCTTTCTTATTTTTCGAAGGGAGGTTTTGCTGTCGGGACATCGTCTCCAACAGTGACACCATACTATACCTAGACCACCGTCCTACCCGAGGTTGTACCTCATATGGTCGTGCTCACTTGAACCTTACACTGCCTAGCGATAGTACTCGCAATATGCACCGAAACAAACTAGATGCAATGAAAGATACGGGTGGCGAGACCCGGACGCGATTACAGATGCGTTCAACCATCCAGAGGATCCTCGGAGCTCGACCCAGGCGTCTGAAGATGTATTAGACATTTCTGTAAGGCTCTGACCATCTCACGCTTTGCAGAGACGAAGAAGGGTCGTACTCCGAGCATACACCGACCTCTTATTCGGAAGCAGTAACTGGTAACGTACCACCTGTATTTCCTGACCTACCGTGCGAGTGTGCTAACGTCGACTTTCTGAGGGACGATTTGATTTTGGGACGTCACCTCTGACACTGTCCCTAAGCTACCATTGTATCCGAGGCCATAGCGCTCGCTGGCCGCCTC